CTGTAAATTGGCTATCACATAGGGGGCTTCTTAGGTTTTTCGGTATTGAGTACGAGTACCGATATTTATCTTTTGGTACTGCCAATCAGCATCAAGCCGGCCCAACAGCTGGGAATCCGGCTCCATATTGCCACACGGCACTGCTGGCCCAAATTCTTGGTATCATACTGATCATAGCATCGGTACCGGTACACCTCTAGTTTAAAACCTTCGTCAGGTTTTTTTTGCAGTCTGCATTTATATATTTATGTGTGCGCTGTATATACAAATAAACAATGTCCTTTTAACTGAATTCTATCAGAGCTGCTGAAAAAACATGATGTATTGCATTCATGTGACCTTAACACCAGTCTTGCCAAAGTAGGGGAGAATATATTTTGTGTTGGAATTTGGGACTGCTTGAAATTGGTGACCTATGTTTGCCTAGAAAACTTGCTGTGTGTTTACGTCCTTTATGTATAACTGATGATTGTTTGTGTGTAGTTCTCCCTTCAGATGAGTGATACAGCTTCATTCTTCAAATAAGAAAAGGTCTTTATAAACAGATTACATTTATCTACCCTGGGAACTCTGCAACATTTACTTAATCCTAACAGGAACCCTCCACTCTGTTACATGGCTTTAACAGGTTCCCTGCAGGGACAAAAACTAAACCTTCTGTAAGGAACCTTTGGAGCTGGGAGATTAAGCTGAATTCTTCAGCAGGAACTGCAGCAGAATCAAACTGAATTGTTTCCCCGCAGCCGATACTCGAGGGTCTTGCAAAAGATTTAATTGCACTTGGCAGATCTCAGATACAGAATAAAATGCAGGTGTTGGGCTTAATGTTTTCTTCTACTTGTATTTCAGAAATGTTCTGGAGGACTGATAAAACACTTTACTGATGAAAGCTGTACACATCACCCAAGAAGGCGTAGAAGTGTGGAATATATTGATTTTCATTTCATATCTCTTCAGTTTAATAATTATCTATATACAGACACTACACAGTGCTGCTTGTGTGCAGTGCTTGTACAGTAGTTCTCTTCTTCAGCCCTCATTAAATGAACTGTTTCCTTCCTAAAAGAAAACTAATTTGTTTAGTGACTTCTCTACTTTAATTCATAATGCAGTGGACAGTTTTTTTGGGGTGCATTTTGACTTGCTTGCTGTTTCATGATCTTCGGCCACATTCAGCTTTACTTAGATTTATTTTTCTTAAAGGCCTTGTCACAGTAGTTAGTGGCAACTCCCCAGCAATGGAGTATCTAAAACTGGCCATATTCCTGCTACATTAGCCGAAATTCGAGCAGTGGGTATCCCTGTCAGTACCACCCGACTTGATAAACTTGATCACAAAATTGAGGGAGCTGCGTGGAAAATTAACGGCATACCAGTGAATGCATCCTATCAGATGCAGTCACTGTTTGGGTATTCAGGCAGCCGGCAGTGCAGATACCTCCATCCACACTAATTAGCTTGAATGGGGTGGGGCAATCAAATGGTTTCTCTCCTTCAGCACACGGGGCTAGCTAGCTATCCTTTGCCCACCGGACCAGTGAGGTCTCACTTTGTCTGTAGCAGTTGGAATTCTGCAGCCTTTCAGCAAGTAACTGTGTGACTTTAATTAGGGAAAGTTGCGTTTCACTTGATTTCTGGCAAGCTGTTGGCAGCCGAGGAATGGCCAGTGTTATTTAGCTCAAAGAGCTTATTCTTTTGTTCAGCAACTGCTAGCAACTGAATAAAAATGTATTATGTTGAAATGGGTTTAATATAGTCGGGATGGATCAATGCACTCTTTTATTTAATAAGTCCGACTGTCAATTTTGCGTATGCTTCCAGGGCTGCAACAACTAATCGATACTAATCAATTATGAGAATAATTGGCAACTATTCTCATTATCGGTTGGAGGGGGAGGGAAGGGAAGGAAGAGAGGGAGGTTGGAGGGAAGGGAAGAAAGGGAGAGAGAGAGATTTTTTTCAATGCAACCAATCGATTTGTTGAAAAAATAATCGTGCAGCTAATCGTCTTATGAAAATAATCGCTAGCTGCAGCCCTACATGCTTCTTATGCCTCACATTCTGATATGACATCAGACTGATTTTTCACATGTGCGTTAGTGTGAAGTCCTGCACTACTTGGTTTTTGCAGTGAAAATAATCCCCTGTTAAACTGCCTCCAAAATAGAGAAAAGGTGGATGTATGCACATGACCTGACTGTCTCAAGAGGTCCACTTTTCTAGTTTTTCCACTAAAACAGGAACTCTCTAACCGTGCAAGGTCTCATGTGTTCAGGGTTTTGGAAGAGAGAGTAAGTTGTGTGCTGGTAAAGCAATTGTGATTGGACCAGGTTTTCTAGCCTTATTAATCAGTTTGTTCTTTGAGAACACTCGTCCGGTGATGTCATGGGCAGCCCCATAGACATTAATTAGGGAAACTGAATGCTAACTTGACCTTTCTCTCTCCCTCCACAGTTTTATTGTTCTGTCCTCCTAAAGAAGCACAAAATATTAATACAGTAAGCAATAGTGCTTCTCCCATGTACATATGTAATTACAGACTATGAACAGAAATAATTTTTGATTCTTTAATGATATATTATTTTGGATCACATTTAGACAAAGTTTAAAAAGTAGCATTTAGTAGTCGGTTTTCTGGAAAAATGTCACCCAAACTTAGGAAGTGGGTAGTTGTACTTTTACTAAATTCAGTGAAGATATACCCAGCAGAGAAGCAGCTGCAAGTCTGGTTCAATGATGGGAGAACTTTAAAAGTAATTTTTGTGAAAAAAGTAAATTTCCGGTGAATTTTTGGTTTTCAAAGTAAGGTCAACTAATTTTCAAAGCCTATCATGTGTAATCTGTTATCGGTGCATCCCTATTTTGTAGGGATGCAGATAACGGTTTTGTTCGGTATTGAGTACAAGTACCGATATTTTTTGCAGTACTTGGCAATACCAATACCAGAAGTCCAATTAAGGAAGCCGGGCGGCACGTAATGACTCGCTGCACGGCTTACTGATTAGCTGTGAAGCCGGCTCCATGCACCAGGTGACGAGGAAGCATGGAGTTGGCTTTCTTGCCAATCAGGAAACCAGGGGGCGGGTAATGACTTGCCGTCCGGCTTCCTGATTGTCCAGCTTCCCGACCAATCAGAAAGCCAGACGGCTGGTCAATACACGCCACCCTGCTTCCTGATTCACCAGGAAGATTAGCCGAAAGGTGGGAAATGACTCGCCCTCCCGGCTTCCTTATTGGCCGGGAAGCCAGCTCCATGCTCCCTGGTGACGATGGAGCTGGCTTCCTGACCAATCAGGAAGCTGGGTGGTGTGTAATGACTCACCGCCCGGCTTCCTGATCCTGGAAGTTCTGGTATTGGGAGCATTTTGGGCAAGTATGAGAACTCGCCCAAATACTCGGTATCAACACCGATACCGATACTAGTGACAGTGCATCCCTACTATTTTGTATTTTATTAAATACAATTTATTCACATCTATATGTGCAACCCCCAGCACAGCAGTGCGATACATTTACATCAGGGGTGGACAAATTAATATGGAATTCAGGAGCCAGTCTGTCTGATCCAGGAGCCAGTAGGATTTTTTAGGCTGTGGCTCCATTGACAACAACTAGAGAAAACCTCAAGAGTTAGGCGCCATTTGTAATTATTAAGGAGCATTGACTGTCTGGCCCCTGGGATTTGCCCAGCTCTGTTTTACATTGTGAAATACTTCTTTTGTTTATAAGACTGTCTAATTGCACTTTCGTTAGCAGCCATATCCAAATGTAGGTGTGGAATTGCCTGTAAAACAATGTATTTTTATGATAAGAAAACTCTGAAATGTACATGTATCACTTTTTCTTCTTTCATGATTTACAATTGTTATGTGATGGTACGTGTCCAAAAATGAAGGGATTAAGTCTGTCCCAAATTAAAATACATAGGGCTACTGGTTCAACAGGCTTTTATCATTAACAGCTTTACATCTCCCTTCTGCAATACAGTAAAATCCTTACAGAAGGGACAGGGCTTACCTCCTTACCCTTCTCTTTTATGGCATATTGATTTTTGCAATACCACAGGTGCGCTTTACATCCTCATTGAGTTCTGTGGCTTCCTTTTGCCTTTCAAGTCCGCCTTCTCTCCCCCTTTTGTCTGACAGGTTCTTTTCAATAAGCTTTCATTGCAAGGAATGCACATCATTTCTTAGAAAGCACATCTCTGCTCCCGCGGCTTGTTTTGGAGTCTTTATATATTTGTTGCTTTTGTATCGAAGCAAGTGTAGTTCTGACAAACAAAGGAGGCACAAACAGGCACATTTCCCAGCAAAACACTGATTTTTAACTTTGCTGAGTCCATTAAGCGCACCGCAGTGCTTTTGGAGAGGATGCTTATTGTACCGATACATCATCAGTTGCAGCTCGTCACTAGAGCATTTCTCAAGCTCCCTTCCTTTTGTGCTGCTATCTTGTAATCACGGTCAATGCTTTGAAATCATCTTACAGATGTCCCATAGCTATAGATGTGGTTACTGTCTCTGCGTTACTATGATTGCAAAGAGCAACGGTGGAAGCAGCTTGGCTCCGGAATCATGAAGAGAGCTTAAGCCCCACACAATGACTAGATGGACACCCTTTCAAGGATTATTGCTCTCCTGCCATTCTCTTTCTGTCCGTCTAATTACCAGGACATGGCTGCAATGGTTTTGTAAAGCCATGACAGTGTGATATTAAGCTATCACTATTTTTCTTGTGTCGACTGCTGCAGTTAATATCTCATCTTGAGTAACCTGGCCAGTTGCTTCAGCAGAGGCTGGATGCATTACTATTAGCTGCTAACAGGTTGCCGCGGTACTTGAACGTAGGGATGTTGAGTGCAAAGTCTTGATTTTTTTTTGTTTAGTGCTAACACTCGTAGTATTGCACATCTTTGGAGATCTGGAAATTAAGCTGTTTTCTTTTTTTATTTCTCTTGAATATTCGCACAGCTCGGAAGCAAGGTCATTTTCTCTGGAATGGAACGAAGTGAAGCCAAAGCGCTGTGACTTATTGAATGAGTTCTATGAAGCATCACCTGTTCCCACTTCCTGCAGTGTAAACTGGTGAGTATCCATTTGCATTTTTTTCATCAATGCTTTTTGTTTGCACTGGCTTTTCGTTTCCTATGCTGTTTTTTCAAGAGGTAGTTAAGTGTAAAGTGCAGTAACCTATAGCAACCAAGTTCTGAACGGATTCTGGTTGTTTGCTGTGAGTTATTATAATTTGCAATATCTATTCCCTGCCTTTACTACGTTAATATACTATATTTTGTGGTCTTATTTTATTCCTTGTGAAGTGTTAAACATTCAAAAGTAGAGGACTACTTTAGTGTGTGGTTCTCAACACCCAAAAGAAAACAGCCCCAAAACATTCCTTTTATTTTCTAATGTTTTCAACTGAAGTCAACGGCTTTGTAAATTTGGCAAAAAGCTTGGGTTCTTTCTTTAAAATACAGAGAGGGATTCTGTTCGGTATAACCTGTAGCAGCCAATCAGAATTTAACAGTTTGGTGAAGGTCTTTTTTTTCTTCTGATTGTTGACTTTGTATGTTTCCTGTCCCTACTGACCTTGATAAAGATCTTTTAGCATCTTCATCTGTGCTGAGCTGGTCTTGGTTTCAGACAGAGATAAACTGTGATTTTGGCTTCTGCACTGCTCCATATGAGCTAGTTGGGGTATTCATTTTACAAATACGCCAGCCTTGGGATCACTCAGAAGGTATCATACTGTATCAAGATGATAGCTGACTCTTCAGTTTTATTGTGAAATTAGGATTTGCAAGGCAATTGAATCAAACAGACAGGAACGAATTGCAATATATTTCTTTAAAAAGAAAAAGTTTGTATATCATGTTAGTAGATACATCCATTGGGAATTGATTCATTATTTACAAGAGTTTTTGTTTGTTCCTCCTTTTACTGCAGTGGTATACTATGTCTGCATCCCCACAAATGCTGTATTGATATTTTTTGGTTGGCGAACAAAACACACGGGGGGAATTTATCAAAACTGGCCCTGGGCAACCAATCAGCTTCTCTCTTCAGTTTGTTCAGTTAAGATTTGAGAATGAAAGAGAGAAGCTGATTGGTGCCACATAGAGCTGCTACAGATTTTACCTGCTCCAGGTTTTAATAAACTCCCCTAGACATCAGCACAACAAAAAAATTTGTTTCCAGATAAAACAATTGAAAATGAAAAACGTGTTTGTTTCGTCAAAGGAAACACATTTTTATGTTTTGGATTCGGAGGCAACGAGCCTACGAACCTTCGGCACACTGAAACCGCAGAACGAGCGGCGGCCATATCGGCCATCGGCGGGTTCTGTGCATGTGCACTGCCATTTTGGAGTAGATCTTGGTATACACCAAGATGGTGGCGCCCACATGTTCGAGCGCTGCCATCTTGGTGTATACTCCAAAATGTCAGCGCGCAGGAGCAGAACACGCTGGTGGCCGATCTGTCCACCGCTAGTTCAGCGTGTGACGTCACACGCTCCCCCTCCAAGATGGCGGCAGGCATGCGCAGAACACATATTGGCCACCGGCGTGTCCTGAAAACGAATTTATGTATGCCCGAATATCGTTTTAGTATGTTCGGGCATACAATAAATTAGTTATTTCGGATTCGGACGAACCACCGAATCAACTGATTTTCGTTGATTTGCAGGTTTGTCCGAATACGAATGCACATGTTGAAATTCTCCTAAAGGTGCCCATACACTGCACGATTATTGTACGATAATCGTATGCGATCGGTTTTTCGTACGATAATCGAGCAGTGTGAACGGAGACGTGCGACCGTTTCTACTGTACGGTCGCATGTCTTCTGTCGAACCAGCATGTTCGAAAACCAGCCGGGAATCGTACAATTCTCGGCTGGTTAGAACGGTGCTCGGAAGACAAATGCCGAACGGGCCGGTGTGCGCACGCGCACACTGCCCGTTCAGCGTTGCGGTCATCGGAAAAGCCCGCCCCTCAGGGGGGCGGGCTTGCGATGATCGAGAGTGCGATCTGCCTGTCCAAGATAGGCAGATCATACGTTTTTTTAATCCCTGTACAACCATCGCAAGACTAAAGTCTTGCGATGGTTGTAGAGTGTATGGCCACCTTAACACAGTTTACATAGAGGGGAATTTATCAAAACTGGATCAGACAAAATCTGGAGCAGCTGTGCACGTCAACCAATCAGCTTCTGTCTTTCATTTTCAAATCTTAACTGAAAAGGTTGCCCCTGGGCAACTGCTACAGACTCCGTCTGCTCCGGTTTTGATAAATTCCCCCCAATGTGTAGGTTAATAATTGTAGACTGAATGTTTCCAGAATGGCAGAATGGGAGTATTCAAACCTTAAATGAAAACTGCACTTTTGTTAAAAACATAGTTTATATAATGGCTTCACAATCCAATTTGTAATTGTATTCATTTTTGTATTCCATGTATTTTATTAAAAATTACCTTGTAATTTCAGTGTGTGGCCAGCCAAAATATTTTCTGAAACTGAAAAGAAAATATAACGTTGGACTTTGTAGCCATAGCAACTATTTTGTACAGAGTGCGCCAAGACATGTCATTTCCTGTTCATGTGATTTGGCTTGCTGCTTCTTTCAACACTGGACTTATCATGTGATTATAGCAGACAGCCCCCCTCATTTAAATGAAACACAGAGGAGGGACAGGTAAGAGTCAAAAATTAGTTTTTTATTTTTATTAATTTTGCAGTGTATAAAGTGCGGACACTTTACCAGTTGAATTTTTGCTAGGTGTGAGAAGCTCGGTAGCATCAGTTTTGAGGGCAGGTTCACACCTTTTTCCAGAAAATGGTGTGAACCTGCCTGCAGTTCCAGTGCATTCCAGATCAGAGAAAATGAGACCACCAGTATTTTTCAGGTCTGGTCTGGAACAGACTGCGCTGGTGTGAACAGAGGCCAGAAATAGCATAGGGATACATTAGGATGCATTTTGGGTCCGGAAACAATCTGGTCTGGTCTGGCGATGATCTGGATGTGGTGTGAATGAGCCCTAAGGACTTGTTCACACCATGTCTGGATCATGTCCAGACCAGAACAGTTTGTTCCCGGAACAAAAAAGCATCCCAATGTATTCCTATGCTATTTCTGGGCTCTGTTCACACCAGCGCAGTCTGTTCTGGACGAGACAAAAAATACTGCACGTCTCATTTTCTCTGGTCTGGAATGTACTGGAACACATGGAAACACATCACAAATGCATACAAACGCACTGGACCGCATCTGAAAGGCCATTTTAAGCTAAAAAAAAACTTCTCTGGCACATGGCAAAATGACGGTAAAAATGCGGCAAAATGCAATAAGGCCAGGCTTTCCGGACCAGAACTGCAACGCAGCGCATTGCATTTTACTGCATTTTTACAGATATTTTACTGCGGTTTTGCTGTATTCCGGAGCTTTTTTTTTAGGTTAAAATGGGCTTTCAGGTGCGGTCCAGTGCGTTTGCATGTGTTTCCATGCATTCCAGACCAGAAAAAATGAGACAAGCAGTATTTTTTTTTTGTCTGGTCCAAAACGGACTGAGCTGCTGTGAACAGAGCCCAGAAATACCAAAGGGGTACATTGGGATGCTTTTTTGGTCCGGGAACAAACTGTTCTGGTCTGGACATGATCCGGACATAATGTGAACAAGCCCTTAGGGCAGGGGTAGACAACCTCGGCTCTCCAGCTGTGCTGAAACTACAAATCCCATAAGGCATCGCAAGCCACAGTCATGACTTCCATAGGCAGAAGCATGATGGGATTTGTAGTTTCAGCACAGCTGGAGAGCCAAGGTTGCCTACCCCTGCCTTAGGCTGAGTTCACACCATTTTCTGAAACAGATCTGGACCAGATCTGGAACAAAGTGGATTGCAATTTTACCGCGAATTGGCCACGATTGGAATTTTAAAAATATATATTTATTTAGATTAAAATGGTCTTACAGGTGCGTTACAGACTTTTTTGATGCGTTCCAGACCAGACAAAATAGGACAAGCAGTATTTTTCTGGTCTGGAAAGGACTGCGCTGGTGGGAACAGAGGCCAGAAATAGTATAGGGATACATTGGGATGCATTTTGGGTCCGGAAGCGGTCTGGTCTGGAGGTAATCTGGATGTGGTGTGAATGGGCCCTTAGGGGATATGCCCATTACACACCATAAACTTTGACATACTGCGTAGATTCTTCAAATTAGAGATGAGTGAAATGCTGAACGGGTGGTTGTGAAAGTTATGTGACTCCATTTCACCTGACCAACATAAAGAGAAGACTTGGGACAGCTGATTCCAACTTTCATCTTTTAGGTTCTAAGATGCTTCAGTTTATGAATAAATGGCAACTTCATTGACTCATCTATCACTTTTTGTATGAAATATAATATTTTACTCTGTATTAATGTAATATATTGTTTTAAAAATTGTCTCAATCCACAGGTGTATAATACATTAAGGGGTTTATTCTCAAAGCTAGCCGAAGGATCAGCCGTAGCTTAAATGTTAAACTTAAATGTTTATAGCACGGCCACAGAATCACTTAACATTCTCTTAACTCACCACTTCCTTAGCTCAACCCTTAAGCTCTGTTCACACCTAGGCATATCAAATATGCGCGTTTGTCGCGCGTTTCGTGACGCGTGTTTTTACCGCAATTCATGGTAAAAAAACGCTCGACAAGCGCGCGTTTCCGAGGGCTACTTGGCTGTATCTCAATGGAAACGCGCGACAAAAACGCAACAAAGAAGCTCATGTACCTTTTCAGGCGAGGGCCGCTTTGTAGCACGTTCAGATGGGCTGAAATATGGCAAGGTGTGAACCATACCCATAGAAAACAATAGGATTTTCATGTTTGAGCGTTTTGTAGAGCGTTCGTAGAGCGTTGAACGCGCTACAAAACGTACAGGTGTGAACCAGGCCTGGTTCACACCAAGCGCGTTCCAGGTGCAGAGCAGTTGCAGACCGGATCAAAACTGCGTCCAATGTATTCCAATGGTATTTTGGGCTCTAGTTCACACCGCAACTCAGGAACACATGCAAACACATACCAGTTTTACCAACTCAGG